TGGGTGCTGGCGCTGCAGCCTTGCCCCACCTCAGCCCCAGTCCTGCCCCTAGCATAGCCAGCAGTGCCCCAGGTAAGTCTGTACAACCTCCTTTTGTCCCCTGACCCCCTCCAGTGCTTGCTTCCCCTTCACCTTAGGCCCCTTTCCTGATCTTTGCCCTTACCCGTTCCTCTTCCCGTCTCCTAATGCTACAGGCAGAACCTGGCAGGGGAATGGGGAGATGACTCCCCCACTTCAAGGACCCCGTGCTCGATTCCGGAAGAAACCCAAGGCTCTTCCCTACAGGAGGGAGAATAGTCCTGGGGGTGAGGGAGGATGCACCTGGGAGATGGTGACAGAAATGGTGGGGGGACAGGCAGGAAACCAAGGGTGCACTCTGGGGGCTGGAGGAGGGAACAGGTGAACCCCAATCTTGGGCTGTTCGTTGGCAGCCTCCTGGTGCCAGGGAATGCAGGTAAGAGAAAGATAGTGACAGGAGTGGCAGGAGGCTCCACTGAAAACAGCTCCCTCCCCAGACTTGCCCCCACCACCCTTGCCACCGCCAGAGGAAGAGGTGAGCTGGGCCCTAGAGCTGAGGGCAGCAGGCAGCATGTCTTCCCTGGAGCGGGAGCACAGTGGAGAGAGGAAAGTGGTACAGGCCATGCCCCTGGCAGCCCAGCGGGGTCCCCACCCGGATGGTAAGCAGGGCCAGGGCAGGCAGGAGGGCTGCTGCCACCAGAGACTGTGGGCTTTGGGACTGGGGTCTGATAGTAGACCAGCTCAGCCCTCCCTTTAGTTAGGTCCATGCATTTGATCCACATCAAACTCCCCTGTCTCTCTAGCTCTCTCTGAGCACAATCCCATGAAGTCCCAAGTTGTGTTCATTCCCAGGATGGAAGCCCAGATGAGAGGACTGGGGTCTAGGTGCTCTGTCCCCGCTCCCCACAAGGCTCCCTCTGATTGGGAGCTTCCCCGCAGTGTTCTGAGTACCCGTGATGTCAAGGCCATGTGCCAGGCCCTCTGCTGCTCCTCAGCCCCAGGCTGGCTGAGTTCTGTGCCTGCCCTTCCATCTTCTTCCAGAGCTGCGCTTGTGGTCAGGGTGGCAGGGTGGGTGACAGGAAGCTCTGCTCCCTGCCTGCACCTGGCTGCCTTTCGCTCTTGTGCTGCAGAAGAGGCCTGGCTCCCGTACAGCAGACCAAGCTTCCTTTCCCGGGGCCAGGGCACCAGCACCTGTTCCACGGCTGGCAGCAACTCTTCCAGGGGCTCCAGCAGCTCTAGGGGATCCCGGGGCCCTGGCCGGAGCCGGAGTCGGAGCCGGAGCCAGAGCCAAAGGCCGGGACAGAAACGCCGAGAGGTAGGGGCTATAGATTGCAGAAAAATGAGGGGAGAGGACTAGGGAAGGGTGGACCAAGGGGTAATGGAAAACAGGAAGGTAGGCAAGGGCTTGTAGAGGAGTGTCAAAAGGAGGGGATCGAGAGTGAGGGGGAGGGAGGAATCCTGTAGAAGTGACAAGGGGACTGAGTGTGGTGGCTCATGCCTGTAATCCTAGCACTTTGGGAGACCGAGGCGGGCGGATCTCTTGAGCTCAGGAGTTCGAGATTAGCCTGGGCAATATGGTGAAATCCCATCTCTACAAAAAAAAAAAAATACAAAATTAGCTGGGCGTGGTGGTGTGCTCCTGTAGTCCCAGCTACTCTGCAGGCTTGAGGTGGGAGGATAGCTTGAGCCTGGGCAGTCAAGGCTGCAGTGAGCCATGATCACACCACTGCTCTCCAGCCTGGGCGACAGAGCGAGACTCTGTCTCAAACAAAACAACACAAAACAAAAGAAATGACAAGGGGTAAGGACAAGATGATACATAATCGAGGAGTCTGGGTCACCATAGGAGAACTGGGTTAGGAGAGAGAAAGCCCGAACGCCTCTTGGACTTGTTTGCCCTGGGCCAGGGTTTTACAAAACAGCATCTCCCTGTCTCCCTAGGAACCAAGATGACCCTTGCTGGGGCATTGAGAATATCAGGAGTGCCACAGGGAAGGGTAGTAGGGATGTCTTTTCCCTCCCAGCAGTGATGAGTGGGGCTAACTGAAGCCCATTGGTTTCCACGATTTCAGTTGACTGAGAAGGCAGAGAGCTAGCTCCTCCCTTTCTTTCTCTTTCTACCTGAGACTTGTTTATAAAAAACAAAACAATAAAAAGAGTCTGATCAGAGCCCGGGGCCATGTCTGTCTGGTTCTGTGCAGAAGGCTGGGAAGAAAGCGACTACAGGGTCCTATATATCAGCACACACTGGTAGCTTCTGCTTCCCTTTCCACTCTGTCAAAAGTACTAAGTTAGGCACAATCGCTCACACCTGTAATCCCAGCACTTCAGGAGGCTGAGGCAGGAGGATCACTTGAGCCCAGGAGTTTGAGACCAGCCTGGGCAACCTAGCAAGACCTTGTGTCTACACACACACTAACTAACTAAATACATAAATAAATTAGCCAGGTACGGTTGTGTGCACCTGTCATTCTATCTGCTTGGGAAGCTGAGGCAGTAGTATTGCCTAAACCCAGGTGTTAGAGGTTATAGTGAGCTATGATTGTGCCACTGGACTTCATCCTGGGTGACAGAGTGAGACCCTATCTCAAAAACAAACAAACAAGCAAACAAACAAACAAACACAAAAAAACGAAAAAACACTAGGTGGGGACTATAGTGTCCTGCTTCTTAAAGGAGTAAGAAGCTCACTGTCCCCGAGTTACAACCATAGACTTTCCAAATGCCCAGTAATAAGACACATGTTCTACCTCTGGAAGGTCAAGCCAGGCCCTTCTTTAGTGCCCTCCTCTGGGATCTACTTTCCCACAAGAAAATACACCCCTCACAAAAAACTATCTTGAAAAACTCAAAGAAAGGAGGAGCTTATGGGAGAAACCCCAGGCAAGAAGGAAGAGCATGCTTTTTCAAACCCTCTGACTCCGTCACAGAGGACAAACGGGCACCTCTTGCTGGGCCCAGATGTGATTGGGTTGACAGGCACAGAACTGTTAAGACTTTTTTGTGGTGACTGCCATGGTCCTTGTCACCTCCTGCCCCACATCCCGTGTACTCACTCGTGACCTGAGGTTTTGTTCCTTCTCACTTGCTCTACCCTTGACTCAGTGACTTCCCTGGACTCTCTGGGCTTGGCGGCTGCCCTCCAGGCCCAGGCCCTGACCTCGTCTGCCCCTTTGACCTATGAGTGTACAAATCTCTCTGTCCCTTTCAGTCTGGCAAACAGGGTTGGAATGTTTTCAAAAGGAATTTTACCAGGAAGCTAAAAAAAAAAAAAAAAAACCAAAACAACCCCCACCCCCCACCACCTCACAAAATCCAGAAAACGAAAAGCAAATACAGAGGAACGGATGTGTATGTGGAACACTGATTCTTCCTCCTGAGATCACAAAAATCTGGCCCAGACTATTCTGATTAATGTGATTCAGGAAGCCCCCAGTCCCCATGGTCCTGCCTCACTCAGCCTCTCAACTCCCAGTGGCCTCCAAGTAGAGCTGCTGGGTTTGAGGGATGAGTACCTCCTTTTAAGCTCTGCTTCCTGTGACCCTGTCATGCTCTGTAGCATCCCCTCCACCAACTTGTGGATTCTGCCCCTGACCGAAATTTCCCGCCAAGGGAGGAAGATGCAGGCCTGCCTGCCCTCCAGCGCCTCCTGTGGCTCAGGCCCTGGAAGTCTTGAAGGGTGTTCCCAAGCCAACTGTGACAGGTGGTTCTGCCTTTTGTGGAGTTTAGCAACTTTGTCTATTTTAAGAAACCATCTGGGATTGCTGAAAGCAGTTGTCTCCTCAGGATGGGTGAAATCAAGGGGTTAATTTGATCAAGTCGGCCTGCCCTGCTTGCTTTTTGGTTTTTCCCTTTTTCCATGAAGCACAAGGCTTTGGTAGCTGAAGGAAACAATCTTCACCGGCTACTTTATGGATAACATTCATAGGTCACCATGAGAATGGCGCTACAGTCATTTTTCAGGAACTTGGGACAGCTCTTGTCCAGCGCAAACCGATCGAGACCACCGACCTTTCAACTAGACCTCTGCAAGTACTCCAGGGGTGGCCTTTTGACATCAGAGGGCCAAAAACTCCACCCTCAGATCACAACACAACCATTTTCTTTTCTTTCTTTCTTTCTTTTCTTTCTTTCTTTCTTTTTTTTTTTTGAGACCGAGTCTCTCTCCATCACCCAGGCTGGAGTGCAGTGGCGTAATCTCCGCTCACTGCAAGCTCCACCTGCCAGGTTCGTGCCATTCTCCTGCCTCAGCTTCCTGAGTAGCTGGGACTACAGGCGCCCGCCACCATGCCCGGATAATTTTTTGTATTTCTTTTTTAGTAGAGATGGGGTTTCTACTAACACAGGGACCACCCGTGTTAGCCAGGATGGTCTCAATCTCCTGACCTTGTGATCTGCCTACCGCCACCTCCCAAAGTGCTGGGATTACAGGCGTGAGCCACCGTGCCCAGCCAGCACAACAATTTTCTACACATATATCCTTATGAAATGCCATGAACCCCAACTACACTTGGGCAGAACGAACCTATTACTTAAATTTTCCCCACTCCCAATCACCCTTCCCCATGCCTTAGACTATCCCACTTCCCTCAGCCATAAATATCCCTAAGGCTTATCTTGGGGAGGTGGATTTGAGAGCTGTTCTCCCACATCCTCACTCAGCAGTCTTGCACATAAATGTTTCCTCTTTTGCAAAACTTCTGTCACAGTGATTGATTCACTGTGCGCAGGCAGACTGGCCCTGGACCTGGCGGTAATACAAGTTGCCAGGACCAGCAGACCCTGAAACTCCCCACCCCTGCCCTTCCTATATTCTGCTTAAAATTTGGTGGAGGAACCTCATTCTTCCTTTAATTGCAGAACAGAAATGTGTTCTCCCTGAGTGTCAATGCATGCCTGATCCCTACCTAACGCAGGAAACTCTTGCCATCTCTCCAGTTGCTCCCTTAAAAATGGTGCTCCGAGGAATGATCTCACAGAACTCAAGTCTTGACCATTTTATGATATCAAATTTCTTAAGCTCATAGTGACAACAGTACAAGGACGGTGCTTTGGACCTATGGTCTCACACCTCCCTTCCTTCAGCATCCTCCCTAGACCCAGCCTTGAACCCGTTGCTTGGCATGAGGTAGGGCCTCAGTGCCTCAGTGGCTTTCATAATTATTTTCTTTACATGGTGAAGTTGGGAGAGAGTTGAGCTCTTCTGTAGAGGAGGGGCCCAGGTAAGGCTGAGAGGGGGCTCCGAGAAGCTCCTTCCTCCACAGCCCTCTCCCAGCAGCCACTGTTGTTCTCCATGAAGGCACCTCTGGCTCCTCTACTTCCTATGATCCAAATGAGTGGGGACAGCAGGAGACTGGGCTGTTCTTCAGGCCAAAGCGACCTGGTAGTGGGAGTGGATGGCACAGAGGAGAAAGCAGTGGCTAGGAGTCAGGTGGAGATGATGTTTTGCCCCCTGAGGGCTCCAGGTCAGCTTTGCTCTAATTTTGTTTTCACTTGTTTTCACAATCCTGGAGGGAGAAGTGTCCAGAGGCTTGGGAAGGTGGACCCCAACTGCGGAGAAACACAGGCCAAGACCCACACACCACAGCCCAGGTCTTGTGGGTGGACAGGAGAAGTGGTTCTGATTCCCGTCTGGGCAGTCTCAGGGACACAGTTCAGGAGTAATCTACAGGAGAAGCTGAAGGACAGTGGAGTTATCTTCCCTGCTCCTTACCTCCCTTCCCCAATGACAGGCTTCCTCCTGGCTTCTTCCCAGAGGCCCTCTGGTCAAGATGGACACATTAGCCAGGAAGACAGACACTCACCACCAGCCTTGGGCACAGGACAGTGGAGCTGACTTCTCTGGGAAGAGATCCGAGAGTCAGGGGACCAGGGAGGCATCCCCCTTCCCAGCAGCTGGGTGTGGTTGACCTCCATGTCTTCCAACCAGTCTGGCCTCCACTCCCACAGGGGCAGGGAGAGGTTGGGGGTCAGGAAGATGTCATCCCTTGGGGAGGGAGGTGATGAGGCATCTGTCAGGGAGGGTAGAGGTGTCTGTGGGGGGTTGACCTTCAGCCCCTAGGGGCCAGTTTAGTACAGGAAGCTTAGGACCAGCTCAGGGCATGTACCCAGCCCTAAACATAACCTAGCCCCAACTCAGCCCATCAGTCCCAGAGGCCACATCCCCAGGGGCTTGATCCATTTGTTTCTTTAGGGAGAAGTGATTGAACTGTTTCCTCCCAGCCCAGCTCTGGCCTTCTATCTGCACTCTCCTTGCACATCCCCATTCCCTGGGCATTCCTCTTCTGCCATCATGGGCACCTCTGTCCTGGATAATCCTTGCCCTCCCATTTAGCACAATCCTGGTTGTTTTTCTTGGGGGCAAAGGGTAGAGTTAGGGTTAGTAAAATGGGGATGGGGGATCTGATGGTGCATGTGGGGAAGGGACACCAAAGCAGCCAGGACCCTGCACTACCTTCTACTGACATGGAGATAAAGGTCCCACTCTGCTGGGAATGTCAGGGGTGAGCCCAGTGGCTCCTCAGCCCCAGCCACTGACAGGGCAGGAGGATGGAATTGGAAGAGGATGGAGCAACATTTCGTGGAGACTCAAGTCAGGGTAAGAGGGGAGTCCTAGAGGCAGGAAAATGGACCTACAGTTGGCTGCCTTTAGAACTGGACAATTTAGGCCAGGCTCAGCGGTTCACGCCTATAATCCCAACACTTTGGGAAGCTGAGGTGGGCAGATCACTTGAGGTCAGGAGTTCAAAACCAGCCTGGCCAACATGTAACCCCGTCTCTACTGAAAGTACAAAAAAAATTAGCTGGGCGTGGCAGGTGCCTGTAATCCCAGCTACTCGGGAGGCTGAGGCAGGAGAATCTCTTGAACCTGGGAGGCGGAGGTTGCAGTGAGCTCAGATCATGCCACTGCCTGGGCAAAACAAATAAACAAACAAACAAAACAAAACAAAACCAAACAAAAACAAACAAACAAACGAATTGGACAATTTGTCCTTGGTCTGTGGGTGACCTTGAGCAAACTAATAAAACTATCTGACTTAATGTTTCCTCATTGGGATAAGAGGGATAAAGAATATTCCACATAGACTTTCAATATTAAATGTATGCAAAGCACTTATCATAGTACCTGAGATACAATAATCGTTCAATAAAACTAGTTGTTTTAACAATGATGACATTATGATGGTTGTTAGAAAGGCGAGGGGCATGAGTGAGGAGTAAGATGGGGAGACCTCACCTACCTGTGAAGACGCAGTCTGCCTCCCTGGGCTCTAGACCAAAACCAAAGCTATCCACTGCCACTGCCAGGGCCCGGGCAAAGTGGGCATCAGCGAGGAAGGAGCCATCGGAGGAGCTGACAAGGCTGGCTCTGGCGCTGGCAGCATTGTCCTCAGAGGCTGAGCCCCAACCATTGGCTAAGGAGCCCTCGCTGGGGGTGGGGGTGAGGCAGAGCCGAGGTGGGCACAGCAAGGCTCCCCCCTCGGACCCCACCCCTCCTCCGGTCCTGTCCATGCCCGTGAACTCTGAGGCTGTTGGGGTGCTGATATACCCATAGGTGGTGGGGGGTGAAGGAGCTCTTGGCATGGGAGAGACGCTGTTCCTAGGGAGAGGCAAAAGGGGAGACAGCAATGGTTTGGGTGGAATGGGGGTTGTAGTAGCAGAAAAGCCCCAGTTGAGGGAGGGCGGAATGGGTGGAGAGGCGCGTGCTCCCATAGCTTTTCTGTAGTTCTTTGGCTATCTCTCAAGCCACTCACCTGGGAGTCTCCTCACCCTCACTGAGTTCCAAACACAGGGCTACCTCCTCAGGGGTCAGCACGCTGTCTTGATCCTCCCCCAGGGATGACAGTGAAGAGCTGGACAGGTGACTGGAAGCTGGGCTGGGGCCAGAGAGGGAAGAGGCCTGAGGGCTAGGGGGACTGCAGGGACTAAGGATGGGAATGGGGGCTGTTGCCAGCAGGATGGAGGAGGGAGCCTGTGGTGCCACCGGAGGCCTGGTCAGGGTGAGAGAGTGACGGCACAGTGGTTAATACAGCTCTTCAAGTCCTTTCTCCCCTTCCCCAGCCTGTCCAATCCCAGTACACACTCCCCACACCCCCTCTCTCCCAGCCCTGCTTCCGGACCCCATACCCTCTTACTGGGTCTGTTGACTCTGAGTTGGGGGAGTTTCATGAGGAAAGAGGGGTGCTGGAGGGAGAGGACGAGTAACCAGCTCATTTGAGGAGCTGAGGAGTTTCGGTCCCAGGGCCCGCCAAGCAACCAGAGCTTGGGGCACAGCTCCTGGGGAATAGAAGCTTGGTGTGAGAACTGGCATCTCCATCTGCTCTGGAGCTCAGCCTGCCGACCCCCCCACCAGCCCCCTTAGCTACCTGTCCCCTACTCCATCCAACCCTCATCAGCCTCCTCAGGGAAAGGAGGATGAGCCTGTGGGAGGGGCCTGGGCTGGTGAGCCCCTGCACCCCTACACCCTATCTCGCCCCTTCACTTCCATTTCAGGGACCTTCTCTCACCTGGGCTTTGGGAAAGGTTCTTGGAACCTCTATTTCCCAACTCACAGGCCCGGAGCTCCAAGGGTTGGCTGCCCCGGAGCAGTGGGGAACTGTTGACATGCTGCAGCTCTGCAAAGAAAGAGTTGGTGGTTGCGGGGCCCAGGATGGACCTTTCAGATCCCAGCTGCTGTCTCCATCTTCAGTCTTATTCAATTCAGCCTGCAGGACCCGGAACCCAGAGAAAAGAGAGGGAAACCCCCCTGAATCCCTTCCACACCCCCATCTTCATCCAGCAGCTGTGATAGGGTAGAAGGAGCACTAGGCTTGGAGTCAAAAGACCTGCCCAGCTCAGCTGTGTGACCTCAGCACAGTCCATGTACCTTTCTGAGCCCCAGTTTCATGTGTAAACAACCACTTTGAATGATGGTCTTGACAATTAAGTAAAACAGATTGTGCAAGTTCTTGGCCTTGATAGATACTTTAAAAAACAACTTCCTTTTCCTTGACTGTATTCATTCCAATCTTCCTGATCTCTATACCCTCACATTGCTACTCTCATGAATTTTGGCTCAGTAAGAAAAATACTCCTTATTTTCTTGGAGAGAATCTATGAATTTCCATTTCTCACATTGCAAGTATCTCACATGGCTCTGGATAGCCCTGCTCTGGGAAACTCGACTGTCTCTCACTTGAAAGGTGGGGTAGACTGTCAGGTTGAGCTGAGTGAGTAAGACAAAAACAGGGATCGACACACAATGTCGGCTGTGACAGGAGACAGTTGGCTAGTAGGAAGAGGAACTTCAGAGTAGGAAAAGGTATTGGTCTTTCCCAGGGAGGCAATGCCCTGCCCATAGCTATTCAATACTTTTTGTTGAATGGAAGAACGAATGCATGGGTGATACCAGAAATGTGGATATAAACACACAGTGGGAAGAATCACCTACAAGATGGAAGCTGTCATCTGGCCCACATGGGCAGTGGAGAGACAGGGCTCTGAGTGAACTTTCACAATGGAGAAGCTGGAAATGAAAGAGACAGCCCCAATTGTGTGCAGTGACCTGTGATCATGCTTCTTGGTCAGGCCAGAATGCAAAAGGGATCTAAGTTTAAGCCAGACAGGAATAGGGTAATAGAGGAAAGAGATTTTTCCAGGACCAGGAACCTGAAGACCATCAAAGGAGAAAAGAAATAGCCTTTAGATTAGTGTCCCATGACCAGAAGCCCAACTAGGAAAGGGTTTCCCATCTTGGTGGACCAGGGACTAGGCAGGACCCTCAGGGTAGAGCTATCTAGTCAGTCTCGTATCAGAGATCTGGACAGCTTCAGAGCAAGGAAGTGAGCCAGGCTTTGGCACTGACCAAGACCCCATTTATGTACTAGTGGCCAGACCTTCTGATCCTTTGGGATGGAAACTCATCAATGACTAGACTGCCTCCATCAAAGTTTCCTTTGGTACTTTGGCTGTTTGGTTTTTGTTGATTTTCTATAGCTTTCATATGACCCAGGTAGTCCTGGGAGCCAACTTCTGGGTTGGTGCGCCAACTCTGCTATCATCAGCTTCGTCTTGTCTAGTGCCTGGCTTCTTGACTAAGCTCAGAAATGTGAGCACAAGTTGGTTGACTGGTTTGAGTGGAAAGGGAAAGAAAACAGCCAGGCCTGGAAAAGGCCACTTTTATCCTAGCCTGTTTCACTTCCTCTAAGGGACCCTGGTAACAAAAGCCATCCTTCTACATTGCTTGGAGTTACTTGGACTTTAGTTTCAATTCTAATTGAATAAACTATACAAGAAAAATGTTATCAAGGTGAAAGGTTGAAACTCATTGGCCAAATTGCAATAAATATTTGTTTGAATAAAATAATGAATGAATGAGGTTATTCAGTGCATGTATCTGGCAAAGTGAGCAGAACTAAGAACCTGTTATGATGGACGAGAGCCAGAAGGCTGCAATTGTGAGGATATCAGCACTAGAGAAGAAACCCCAACTAAGGCCAAATAATAAGAAAAAGGAACAAGCAGATAAAGGGGAGTGGGGGGCAATGGGAGAGGCTGCCAGTTTTAGAAGAGGAAGAAACAGCAGTAGAATCAGCTCCATGGCTCTGCAGAAGACCATAGCATGATCTTGCTGCTGCTGAGGTCCTGGGAGGTAGAGGTAGAATATCTAGTGTCCACCAGCCAAGGAGTTGCTGTGGTTGACCTATCCTGGGGACAGTGGTGAGATGGGGCTAGAGTGAGGAGAAACAGGGAGTGAAGTAAACCACAGGCCAGGAAGCTTCATCTCCAAATTGGAACCCTTCTTAAGAACTGGCTGTAGAAAACCACTCACCTCTTTCCAGTAGCATTACTGTTCTATGAGGGGCTATCCATTCCATTAAAGTCGGTGTAGTTCTTCGTGGGAAGGCTGTTTTTCAAATGAGACTATTCAACCTCTTTTTATCTGGTGTTTCATTACCACCAAGGATTTATAATCCAATAGCTCTGAGGCAAAGCTGGTAAGAATGCCAGCTTCACTGATATTTAGAGTCATAAAATTCTGGATATTGAACAAGCTCTTAATTATCTTAATCTATCTTTGTCTTATTAAAAGTTGGATTAAATCCACTTAAAAAAAAATACTTGGCTGTAGAACATTTGTTAGGTCTTACTTATCAGTACAGAAGACTCAAGAAGACAGCAGGTAGAGTGCAGGCCAGTGTTCTGCAGGCCAGAAATAGGAAAAAATACTCAAAGAGAGAATCAGATTTCCTGAGGGAGCTCCAGAGAAACTCAGAATCGCCCTCAGAGGCAGACTATCCTGCCTTCAGGTTTGAGTCCTGTAGCTAATTACTTGCAGAAGTTTGAACTAGTAACTCAATCATTCTGGCCCTCTTCCTGTCTGTAAAATCAGAGAAATAGTAGCCAGCCAATCTATTGTGAGGATTAAATGAAGTAACAAATGTAAGTAAAGCACCTAGTATATAGTCATTGATCAAGAAATGGAGGCTATAATTATTTTTGTCTGGAAAGTCAAAGAAGGCAGCTGGGAGTCAGGAGAGAAACCTCTCCAGAAAGGAAATGCCCATTCCTCTCCGAGAAGTGAGTTGGAAGTCGGTGCCCAAGCACACCTGTATATAGTACACCAGGAGATGAACTCATGGGAGCCTGAGGCTTCGTGGCAGCACTGGTCACATTCCTCTAGGCTCTAGCATTACTTGTATGCTAGTCAGCACTTTCGTTAGGCCCTGAACCCTTAGAAGTCAAGGGCTGTATCTGGTGTCTCTTGTGTTCCCCATGTCTGGCATGCAGTGGTGCTTATTAAATGTTTGCTGAGTTGAATTGACTGCAGAATTAGGGCTCACTGCTGGTGTAGCCAAACTGAAACAAGAGGACAGTGCAAAAAGCTGAGGCTATTGCACCCCTAGCTGAGTACTCTGGTGGTAGGAGAAAGAGGTCTTGTGTCCACCTGGAGAGGAGAATGGAAGGAGGGTATGGAGGTTCACCTCACTCCAGGCTTTGAGGTCGCATTCCCATCACATTCCCACTCCTGGGCCCCTCTACCACCAGCTCAGGCTATGTCTATTCTCCCTCTCCTTACCCTGCTTCTTTTTGGCCTTCCAAGCCTCTGTAGGGGCCAGAGACAAGCGTGGAGAAGAGAGTCCCCTGCGGCTGCAGAGGCTGTCTGAGCTGGAACAGGGGCTGGAGAGTCGGGCCAGTTGGGGTGGTAGGTGCCTGACAGCTGGGACCTGGGGACTTGGCCTGGCTGGGGGACTGGAGGGCAGCTCAGCGATGAGGGAGCCATAAAAAGTGCTGGTGTCTGGAAGCAGGGGCACGCCGGGGCTTCGGGAGTCCCAGGAGAGCACTGTGATATAAATGACAGGAGGAATTATGGTGAGCATGTCCCACTCTCCATCCCTGGGATCACTGCCCCCAGCTAGGCCCTTGCCCCCACTGAGCATGCTCACAGGAGCGACGACAGTCTAGCGGGTCCCGGGGGTCCGCCCCCAGCCTACTGCTGAGGCTGCTGCTGCTGCTCAAGTCCCGAGAGCCAGAGGTGGAACGCCAAGTGTCTGCCAACCACTGGGAGTCACTGTGATCCATCCTGGGGCAGTGGAGGGAGTGGGTGAGGCCGGGAGAGACAGGGAGAAGTGAGAACCTTATTGGCCAAGACCTCCTGTTCAGAGGGCAGCAGAAGAGGGCAAGGAGTTGGTGGTGTCTGCTTTATCCTTACTACTGCTTCTCAGCTTTTCACAGACTCCTTAAGATCTCTGACCCATCCCCCAAACTCAGCACCCTTCTATTCCTGGATGAGGGGAAATCCAAGTCCCCCAGAGCTGGGAGGTAGTAATGACAGACAGCTATGTTTGCTGAGGTGAAAAGAAGACCTGAAGACAAATCTGGTTTGACAATCCCTATCTGTCACAGCTTAGCTTGGGTATGTACATCTGTTGTACTTGGGTAAATACATCCTCTCTAAGCTCCAGTTTTCTCATCTGTAAAATGGTAACAATAAGACCTTCTACACTCAAGGCTGATGGTCTGAGTTTAAATGGGGGAAATCTGAGATTACTCAGCTGGCAGAGCAGGAGCTTGCTCCATGGATGTTGGCCTCTGGCTGCCTGAGTGATCCTTCAAGAACAGGGATCTGAGCAAGGAGTTTCTCTGCATAAGACCTTCAACGGCCCCTCATTTACCACGGTAGAGCCCAGGTACCTAGCATGGCTAACAGGACTCTCCTTGGTCTGGTTTCCAACTCCCTAACTATATCCTTTGCTCTGACCCATCTCTCACCCTATACCCGAGCTAGAACAAATGGTTTGTCTTTCCCTATGGACATATCTGGCTATTACTTGCTGCTTCATTGCTTTTCCCTCCACCCTCTTCTTACTGTCAGGGTACTGTGGAATCTTCTTTCTCCTATGTTTTTCCACATTGACCCCCTCCATGTGTCTTGTACCCACTTCTGCGTGGCCAGTACGGGATTGCACTCATATCCCCTCATGCCTGTCTCTGCCTACACTGAGAGATCCTGGCAGGTGGAGGCTCTTCCAAAAGAATGAATGAACCACAGATCAGAATGGAATCTCCCTCCAGGACAGAGCAGGAGTTCCCAGGGAAGCCAGAGAAAGCTTAGGGCAGAGCAGACAAAGCCAGGAGGTAGCTGAAAGAAAGAAGACAGTGAACTCAGAAAAGGTCAGAACACAACACCAGCCGGCTTGGACCCCTGCTCTGGGCTGAGGACCTGACAGTGAAATGGCAGCTCTAGGCCTGGATGTGCTGGCACACAGTAGGTGCTCAGTAACTTCTGTGGATAGATGCAGACCTGGAGTGGGAAGCCTCCCAGAGGAGATCTAATGAAATAAAGAGCCAAGAAAGCAGACAGAGAGATGAAGCGGTTGATTAGTACAGAACTCAGAGAACGAGAGCAAGAAGGATGTGTTCTCTATCAGCATGATGTCCCAAAACTGCAGACTTGTCCTGGCAGCCAAATATACTGGAAGCAGAAGGGCCTATGGGCAGATCCTGTTTTTGAGAACAGTGAGGAAGAATCTATGATGTAGGCACCGAACAGCCTCTGCTGTAGCTGCGGATGGATTATGATGCAGGCACAATGGCTCAGTGAGAGAATTACTGAGTGCAAAGGCACTACTTGGTAGACCATAGGTGCACACATAAGATGAGACATTCGAGCTGGTTGTCTCATGCTGATTATTCTCCACCTAGCAGGGTTAGGCAGCAGGAGAGGTGGGTTGACAAGAGCCCTGGACTGGGGATTCAGAAGGCCAGTCTCTAGTTGGGCAGCCTTGAGTAAAGTCACTCAAGTTCTATGAGTTTCAGTTTACTGGTCTGTCAAGTGGTGTGATAGGAATAGTAATGACAGAGAAACGAACTCTCAGTCGGAATTACAGGAGAGATTCATGTACGAGAGTCCCAGACTGCCTGGCAGGTAGACTAGTCCTCCATTCTTCTCTGTTGCAGCTGCACTGTCCCTTGCCACTCTCCCTTACTACAGACCTCCCCCTTCACCTCTCACCTGTGTTTTAGGATGGCGTCCTTACTGGTATATCTGTACAGACCTGGGAGAAGACAGGAGGAAGGCTAAATCCAGAGGCTGAATCACCTGGCCAGAGATCCAAAGCCCCTGCACCAGTCTGACTGGATGCTGAGGAGGCCTGTATATGTGTGGGACCCCTCAGAATCTCACCTGGGCCCAGGTGCACCCCAGCTCGGCGCCAGCGGTGGATACACACAGCGGTGCCCAGAAGCAGCAGCCAGAGCACAACACCACAGGTGGCAATGACCTCAGGCCGCTTCAAGGTGGCTCTCAGCTGCTCCAGGGTCCAGGGACCATGCTCACTGGGTTCTCGGGTGGCTCGCTCCATGGCCTGCTCTGTATGGGATGCAGAGCTCAGGGGGAGGGGGAGTCGAGGCAGTGAGGGCCTGGCAGGCAAGGGGGAAGAGCTAGAAGTGTGAGGCAGGAGCAGGGAGAGAGGAAGGCGGGATGCAGGCTGAAGGGTAGGGTGGGCCTGTGGGTACTGCCCTCACCTAAAAGGAGGCAGACAGGGCTACTGGGTTCTCCAGCTCCAGCACCAGTGACTGCAGCCACTTGCACACAGTAGGAGCCTGGCATGCGGGTGGCGATTTCCAGCTGGGTCTGCTCACCAACCACAGTCCAGTTGGCTGGGGGCAGTGACGTGTTGCCCAGGCTCCAGACCTGAGGCGCAAAAAGAGGTGAACAGCTGCCCCAGGCACCATCCCAGAAGCTAAGCCCTTTGTCTGCAGATCAGACTCCAGGGATGTGGTTATTCTGCCCTGCCATCCACTTGGGGGAATGCACCCAATTTCCTATTCCCCTCCTATTCTCCCAACCAAGTGAGAGCTACCTCTCTCTAGATGAACAGAAGAAGGGCAAAAGCAATCTGCTAAAATACATGTAACATAGTAGTTTTCAAACAACAGCAGCCTTCCAAGTCACCTGGAGGGCCTGCTAAAGTATAGTTTGCCAGGCCCGTCTCTGAGTTTCTGATTTATTAGCCCTGAGAAAGGATCTCAGGGTTTGTGTTCCTAACAAGTTCCTGGGTGAGGCTGATGTTGCTGCTCTAGAAGTCACACTTTGAGCACCACTCCCTTATTCACAGCCTGGTTTGATCTAGTCTGTTTCTTATTCCTGTGGCCTTAGCCCCACTTTCCATGTCTGTACACTGGGGATAATACCCCACGGTGGACTGTGAGGTGAAACGGGATCAGGGAGGTCAAGTGCTTGGCAGGGTCTGGCACAGTGGGTCCTTGCTCAGCAAAAGAAGGTTTTCTTTGCTTCTCTGCCCAGGTGCCTTTCTCAGTGCACAGAGCAAGGGTATGCAGAACTCTAGAGAAAAGAGATGTCCTGGCAGCACTAGGAAGGGCTATGTCAGTTTGTGGGGGTACCTGGTAGCCACGGATGATGCCATTGTGGTTTTCAGCAGGTGGTGGGACCCAGCTCACAAGGACACTGCCATTGCCAGGTTTTAGGGTCACCTCCTGGGGTGGGGCACTGGGCACTGGAGGGGTGGAAGAGAGGCTATGAGGGGCTCTGAGGGAGAAGACGCTAGGGAAAGGAGCTGGGATGGGGGACACAGAGTCAGAACCCCACCAAGGAGACAAGAAGCCTCTCGAAGCTCTGCTGGCCTGGCCAGGGCAGAAGGGAGTTCCAGAGTAGGACCCATAATCTCCCCCAAGACTGAAGCAGAACAGTCCAGGGGCCCCCAGATAAGAAGGAGCCAGAGGGCATATTGTTGGGTTCCGAAGGGATCAGGCCCTGACCTTTTTCCGGCAGCCTCAGGAGCAGCACGTTGCTGTCAGGGCCTCGAGCCCGGCCGGAGGATGGTCTCACTTTGAACTCATAGTCTTGGCCCCAGTGGAGGCCTCCAAGCTCTGCGCTCTGCCAGCCGGCCAGCAGCTCCTCTGCCCACGGAGCTCCCTGGTCTCCCGGGGCAGTCTGGGTCCTGAACAAGGCCGTGTAAGATTGGGCAGGTGCAGCAGGGCCGCTCACCTGGGAAGGAGTTGCGAGGAAGGGCGAGGGGTCAGAGAACTCAGGAACAGCCCTTTCTTGAGCTCTGGACTGGCTTTCACCCTTAGCACCTGGCCCTTACCTTCCAGCTGAGCCACACAGCCGGTCCAGGCTTGGGGCCCTTTGCGGGGTCCGGGTTCAGCAGTGTCACATTTTCCAGCTGAATTCGCACAGCCAAAAGCTCCACGGGCTCTGTGTAGTCCTGGGGCTCTGGGGGGAGGATGGGGCTGGGCTGGGGCCTACAGGCCGGAGTGACAGAACTGAGGCGTGGAACATCCCTCAGCCAGGGAGGAACCCCAGGGAACCCGAACTCCCAGTCTCCAGGTCTTGAGCATTCCGATTTCTACTCTAGCAGGGGGAACCTCCCACTACATGAGACCCCCAGCACTTTGACCCTGACCCCACATACCTTAACCCCAGCCCAAACCAGAACATACCACCCTAACTGGAGCCCGCAGCCTGGCCCTGATTTTAGCCGACCCCTGTCCTTACCCTGGATGGACACCCGGGCTGCGCGGCTCTCCCTGTGTCCTGCGCTGTTGGCGGCCACACACATGTAGGCCCCTGCATCACTCTTCTCTGCTCTTGCCATCAGCAGGGACCCCCCGGACACCTGTCAGGGCCAGGTTCACTGTGAAGTCTCCTACGTGGGGAGGGGCTCTGAGCTGGGGGGAGATTTGAGGTCCCCCTGCTCTCCCCTCCTCAAATTCTACTGGAGGATGCGGGGCTGGAGGGCAGGTCAGTCCCTCAGGGTGTGCCCAGGTCTGCCCAGGCCAGGATGAAGTGTGGGAGAGGGGGCCACACTTACCGTGTGCCTTCCGGGCTGGAGGACCAGGGGTTTCCCGTCTTTCCACCATGAGACTGTGGGCTCTGGGTGGCCCCAGGGCGGCCCACATTCCAGAGTTAACTGCTCACCCACCACAGCTACCATGTCCCGAGGCTGGATCTGGAAATCCTCCCGGAGGACTGTGGAGAGGATGGAAGGTGACAGGGAGCAGGGCCCAGGCCTCCTCTCCCTCCCTTATCACTCTTGCCCCCTTCTGCTTTGCCCACCTTCCTGGCCTCCCATTTTGGGCCAGCCCCACCCCAGCTTGCCCTCCCAAGCCTTGCAGCCCGGGCCTCTGCTCTCAGATGTTCCCTTGAACATTCAATTCATATGTCTCCACCCAGGTTTGCCCCACCCTGAAGCTCCCCTCCCAGACCTCACCAGCCACAGAGAGCCGAGCGCCTCTGCTGACTGCTGTGCCCAGCCGGTTGCTGGCCTCACATGTGTAGACACCAAGGTCTGTGGACAGGGCCTGGCCATCGTGGGCATGTCCCCGGGCAGGGGGCTGCAGCAGCAGAAGGGTCCCATCAGGCAGGAGGTGGTGTGGGTCTGGGGGCACCATGCTCAGGGGCTGCCCATTCAGCAGCCAGCGGATGGTGGGAGGTGGCTGGCCCGAGGCTCGGCAGCTCATCCTGGCAGGGCCAGGGCCCTGGAACAGCTGGTCCTGCGGGTGGACTAGGATCTGGGGCGGGGAGTCCTGAGCCATGCCTCCTGGGAGGGAAACGGAGCAGAGCCCAGTCTGATCACCAGCAACACCCCAAATTCCTGGCACCCCCTCATCTGTCTTCTCTTGTGTGCGAGTTTGCCAGATGACCTGTACTCTGAACTACTGAAGGCTGCCCCTCAAAGAATGAGCTAGCTGGTAGGAGAGAGGGCCAGTATGCACAGCATCCAGGCCAGGGCTTGCATAGTATGTTCTCTCTCTCTCTCTCTCTCTCTCTCTCTCTATCTCTATCTCTGGCGTGTGCGCACACACAAAAACACACATACACTTACACACGTTAATCATCATCATCATCATCATCATCGTCATCATCATTCTCATCTCTGGTCCCCCCACTGCAAAAGGGAAGCAAGCAGTCAGCAGGCCTCTTCTGCCCTGAGCAGGCCTTGGATGGAGGGAGCATGGGCCAGGAGAGGGAGAGCAACTCACCCATGATGAGCAGGAGCAGCAGAGGCCGGGAAGCCCGGCCCCCCCGGAGGCTTTCTCCTCCAGAGCCCATGGCTACTCTCAGCCTTCTGTCCTTGTCCCGAGCACTTTGTCCTGCTGCTCTGAGCTCACAGCGAAGAGGGAAGGAGGGGCGGGGTGGGCTGGTGGTGGTTGTTTGTGACCGAGACTCTGCCCCAGGAGGGAAGCGGCTTTGAGGAAACCGATGCTTCCTGCCTGGCCCTCAGTGCCTTGGAGAACTGGGAGGAGACCAGAGGCGAGAAACTCTCTGACCTCGACCCTTTAGCTGTAACCTCCGACCCTAACTTCAGCGCTAAGCTTTATCTCATGATCTAGTCGGGGATTTCTTACAGGGTATCTTTACACTAACCATAACTCCAATCAGAGCCTTAATCCTCTATTTAAATCTTATCCCTGGATCCCAATCCTTATCCTTTTGCCACCTGCTAGAGAGGAATGAAAACCCCAGGAGTCTCAGGACACAGCAAGAAGCTGAGGACAGAGGGCAGTGGGGCTGCAGGCTGGAGAGGCTGAGTGAAGTGGAGCAGGGGTGGATTGTAACACCCTGGTCCATTTCCCCAGGGGCAGATGAGCCAGGGGGTGGGGTAGAGTGGGAGACAGGAAGGACTCAGAGCCTCTGGGACAAGCTGGGAGATTCCCACAGGATGTGTCCATATTCAGCTCAGAGATGGATGAAATAAGCTTCTCTGGAGACCTTGGGCAAGTCAGTTTCCTTCTCTGTAAAATGGAAATAATAATAGTAGTTCCTACTTTGTGGGATAAAGTAATGATGAAACACATAAAGGATAAAACCACCGGCATCTGGTGCCTGATGCATTAAGAGTGATCCATAAAGCTGAGCCAACATTGTGTATTTGTTTTTAGGCCCATCTTATCACTGAAACTATTGGAGGATCCTCGGCAGGAGTATTTTTCAGGCCCTGGAAAGGCGGTTGGAGTAAAAGACCTTTTAAGAGTCTTTCCAGTCCCAAGAGCCTGTGTCCATGTCTGTAGCAGGCAGGCCTTGCAGCTTTTGAGCCTACAATGTCGGCTCTTGCCCGCTGCCCCCTTTCACCCACAACCTAGACAGAGGCCACACTCCCCTCTCAGATCCCAGCTCGTGTTTACCGGTCTCTTCCTTCCAAATCTGGAATCTCAGCCATTTCCTGGAGCTGTTCCCGGAAGGCCAAGGCCAGGCTCTGGGGCTCAGCGGAAGAGTATCCAGCCTTTGTTCCCAATTGTTCCTGGCTGGCTTCTCTGCAGGGCCCCTAACCCAGCTGACGCCCTCCCTTCCCCCCTCCCCATTCCCATCCTGGCTTCAGTGCCAGCCACAGCTTAACAGCCTGTCAAGTAGAAGGCTCCTTCACTCCTCTTTCCTCTCAAACTCAGACCAAGACTGACAAAGATAGAATCGGAGCAAGGAAACACCATGGTCTCTACAAACTGGGGCGTTCGCAGAGGCTAAAGAATAGGCAGAGTGAAAGTCATAGGGTGGCAGAGCTGGAAGGATAGGAATTGGGGCCAGGGAACAGAATGTCACTACCCTTAACACCTCTAATTCTGAAATCCCAGTTTTTGTTCTCTGGACCCAATTCCTATCCCAAATTCTGTGGGTGTGTCCTTACACTAATCATAACTCCAATCAGAGCCTTAATCCTCTATTTAAATCTTATCCCTGGATCCCAATCCTTATCCTTTTGCCACCTGCTAGAGAGGAATGAAAACCCCAGGAGTCTCAGGACACAGCAAGAAGCTGAGGACAGAGGGCAGTGAGGCTGCAGGCTGGGGAGGCTGAGTGAAGTGGAGCAGGGGTGGATTGTAACACCCTGGTCCATTTCCCCAGGAGCAGATGAACCAGAAGTTGGAGTAGAGTGGGAGACAGGAAGGACTCAGAGCCTCTGGGACAAGCTGGGAGATTCCCACAGGATGTGTCCATATTCAGCTCAGAGTTGGATGAAATAAGCTTCTGTGAAGACCTTGGGCAAGTCAGTTTCCTTCTCTGTAAAACAGAAATAATAATAGTAGTTCCTACCTTGAGGAATAAAGTAATGAGACACATAAAGCACAGAACCACTGGCATCCAGTGGCTGGCGCATTAAGAGTGATCCACAAAGCTGAGTCAACATTGTGTATTTATTTTGGGGCAGGCAGAATGGAGTCAAGTTTATGGGGTCCAGGATCTGTGAGGGCAGAGTGATGAAGGGGAGATTCATATGGACACTGAAGTCAGCTGAGGATGAGACAGGAAAGGATGTGGTGGGACTGGAGGATTTACTGCACAGAAGGCCAATTTGGAATTTCCCAGGTACAGAGTCTCCAAGACTGTCTGACTCCCTGACTGCCAGCTCCCCAAGAATGTCACTGTCAGCGGTCTGCCTTTAGACTCCTCTGCTTCCATGTTGGACCTGGGGAGACTAATTAAGGCTTGCTAACGCTTTAATGCCAACTAGATTTTACTCCAGTCTTCACAATGCAGAAAGATGGTAGGTTTCCCTCAGGGGAAAATAAGGCAAGTTTCAAAGGAATTCCAATCCATCACTAGCCCTGTCCTCAGCAGGGTGAGAAAGGAGAGGTGAGACGGCCTGTGTGCACCGCAGGGACAGAGCCCCAGAGGCTCCTGCAGCCTGAGGAATGGCCCCTGCCCCACGGACACACGCCCGGTGCCTGGAGATCACCTTCAGCACAGCCTTGCCCTACTCCCAGGTTCTGGAGAGCTAGGTGCTAACACCTGAAGGCGATAGGAGGGGCAGATTCCTCAGTTGTTCCTGCAGGACACTAGAACTTTTTCTCCAGGGCACTCAGAGTGACATGCGGTGGTGGCCGAGGGGACTTCCCAACAGTAGGGTATGTCTGGATGGCTCCCAGAGACTGCCCGGCTCATTTCCAGCAACCCGGCGCATCCGCATCCTCATTGTCTCATTTCCACAAACTGAGGAAGAGCCGACCGCATGAGTCATGGGGATGATGTGGCTTGGTGGGAGCCGCCTCCAATTGCTTTTTCAGGGAAGCTCTGTTCTGGGGCTCTGGTGATGTGCAGTCCCAGTGACCAGCTTAAGCAGTGCCTTCCTTCACCCCTAGTTCCAGTGTTTTGTGTTTTCTAACTCCCCCTGCATTGCTTGTAAGAGGGAGAAGAGAGGGGAAGTACCAAGTGCCCTTCTGAGCAAACCTCCAGAGGAAACTTCTCTTCAATCTCCGGCTCCTGGCTTCTTTGGCTTTCTGCTCTGTGATCTCCGAAGACGCAATCTGAGACTCCCGCTGGCCAAGCTGGTGGAGAAAAAGGGATAAACTCAGGTGGGATTTGGAGTCAGTTACACTGAGGTTGAGATCCTGCTTCCACCTCTTATTGGCAGAGAGATCTTGAGTACGTCACATAACCTCTCTGAGTCCCACTTCCCTCATCTGTAAAATGTCTGCATGAGGTTTACAGACAGTAGACATGGAAGTTCTTTGAAAACACTAGATAGGTGTGAGTTGTCCTTTGAGTGTTCTGGGATCAGCATGCCTGACCAACACAGCCATAGCCAATACCAGCTACCCCTTGATATTCTTTGTGGATTTGAGACTCATACTTTTTGCCTTCTTTTTTTTTCCCCTTCTTTGCTTGAGTCTGCTTGGTCTCAATCTATAAATTCTCATGTTTGTTCCAAGATGCCAACAGCTGGAGGGAAATTGAGTCAAGAGAGAAGACAGTAATGACTTCCTCTTAGCTGGCTGGAAAACTCGCCCTAAGGCCACTTCACTCTACAACTTCTATTCCCTAGTTTCTGGTCCCATCAACATCATGGGTGATTTCAGGTGCCTGGAATCTAAAATCATATTGAATACTCTCAGTCCTACATTTTCACAACTTTCTCGACACCAGTGACTATGGCTCATACTACATTTTCTCAACTTTCTCGACACCAATGACTATGGGTCACACCTAGCTTAAACATTGCCCAGTTGGAGATTTCAAGGAGTGCTGACATCAATATTTAACCATTTTCTCACATGTCCAGGAAGAAGGGGAGATCAGTTACTGTTCTTTGTGTTCACCCTGTCAATGCCCTCCAGTCAAAGACCATCAGGAACATACCTATTGTTGAACAAGTTGATTTACTCCTTGTAGCTTGAGAGAGTGCATGCCATGGAGAACTATGGAATGTCTCAGTAAGAATGCTGTTAGAAAGAACCTAGTCTAGGATTTGGGCTTTGATTGGGTGATTTCGAGGACAGTCCAGGGAAGTGAGGCTTCACTCAAAATTGGGTGCTGTTGGGAAGAAAGGACATGCAATGATTCTTTGCAGAGGAGTGTCTTTGTAGTATACCAAGTGGTTCTTTTTCTTGTATGTGTGGTATATCAAGTGGTTCTTTTTCTTCTTTTTCTATTATAAACAGTGCTGCTCTGAATCTTTATTTTATATGTCCCCTAGTATAACTGTTTAAGAGTTTCTCCAGAAAATAAAAGTAGGAGTAGAAATATCTGGGTCTTGAGGAGTACAAATATTCCACTTCAGATGAAATTAGCAGATTGTTTTCTGAGTCAATTGTAACAACGTCCTTGAGCCATGTCCTCAGAGCAGTTGGTGGACTTCTTAATTTTTGTGAGTCTACTAGAAGAAATGGTATTTTATAGTTGTTTAATTTGCATTGCCAGGTTAAAAAATAATGAAGCTGAGCATCTTTTCAAGGGTTTACTCACAGTTTAGGTTTTATCTTCTGGGAAATATCTACTTCTACCTTTTGCCCACTTTTCTATTGCTTATTTGTCTTTTTCTCAATAACTCTTAGGAGTTTTTATGTATTCTGGGTAATAATTCTCTGTGGAGTAAAGATGCTTTAAAAACAAGTTTGATCTCATATTTTATTTCTTTATAATATAACAGAAATTGTTAATTTTACTGTAGATATATTTATTAATATTTATTTTTATGTTTAGTGTATTCTTTCTATTTTTAAAGGAAACTTCATCTACACTAAAGTAAATACATTATTCCACATTTTCTTCTAAAAGTTTAAACATTTTACCCTACGATTTTTGAACTATCGCTAATTGATTATTTTATATGGCTTGAGGTAGGGATCTATTTTTTCAGATGGTAACCTACTATCCCAGCTTAATCTCAGTGACCTGCTATGATTTATTCATACATCAAATGTTCATGTATACATAGCTTGTTTCATTAGCCTATTGTCTATTCCTGCATGAATACCACACTTTGTATATTACTAGAGATGTAATAAGTTTTGCTATCTGGTAGGGTGTTTCTCCTCCCTCTTTCTTTTCCAGGAGTATCTTGGCTATTCTTGGGTCTTCTGCTTGTTAAGTTCTTTGAAAATATTGTGAAATTTTTATTGGAATTGTTTGGAATCTATAGAAAGAACTAGCATTTAAGTCTTCATATTCAGGAACATGTATACCTCTTTTTAAATTTAGGTCTTCTACTTTATAAAACATCTATAATAAAGTTTTATAAATCACAATATATAGATTTTACACATATTTTGCTATATGTATTCTTAGCTTACTTGTTATACATTGTGTTGCAGATTATCCATAAAGATAGCTGCAATAATCCCTACCATCCTGATGCATATCCATTTACAATGCTTTTTTCCTATCTCATGAAGAATAAAATTTATTTCCAGCCCCCTGAAGCTGGGCTAGCCTTGTGAATTGCTTTGGCCCACAGAATATAGTAGAAGTGATACCACAGAACTTTCAAGACTAAGTTTTCAAACTAATTTTGTTCTCTCATGATATAGTTTGGATGTTCATCTGCTCCAAATCTCATGTTGAAGTATGTATTAGTCAGTTCTCACACTGCTATAAAGAATTGCCCAAGACTAGATAATTTATAAAGAAAAGAGGTTTAATTGACTCACAGTTCTGCATGGCTGGGGAAGCCTCAGGAAATCATGGCGGAAAGGGAAGAGGCACATCTCACATGGCAGCAGGTGAGAGAGAGCAAGTGTGTGAAAAAGGAACAGTCAGACACTTATGAAACCATCAGATCTCATGAGAACTCAGTCACTATCATGAGAACAGCATGGGGGACATGTCCCCATGATCCAATTACCTCCC